TCCCTTCCGACCCTTAATCTATGAAGCTATGAAACTATGGGAGCACCAGCACTCAGGGGGTGCATGTGCACCCCCTACATGTTGCCTATGCCCATTGTTCTTGACGTACGAAACCAAAACTTGACAAAAAAAATGCCCAAAACTCCAAGTGAGGCTTCACCAATACTGAAGAGCAGAAGAATCACTTCCCTTCGTTTGCAAGTGACACTCCTGTTAACACAACCCAGCATACTGTTTGCTTTTTCTGCAACAAGCAAATGCTATTGACTCATTCAGTTTATGGCCCATGGTATCTCCAGGTCCTTCTCTGCAGTACTACAGCCTGGCCAGTCATTCCCTCAATCAGTATATGTAATATGAGGCATTTTAGAGGTGGTGGCTAAATTCCTCCTGCTGTTTGACCTTATATATAATTAAACATTCTCATTATTTTATATAAACTAAATATTCACATGTTCCTACCTCCCAGACTAGCTTTTTTATGCTTGAGGATTATAGTCATTATCTGTTGCAATGAAATATTTCATACACAGTAGAACTCTTTCAAAGACCTTAAACTTCCTCCAGGGGTTTTGGAAGCCACTGGTCTCAGCAGAATGAGTCCTCCAACAGAGTTTAGGAGAAAAGCAAACTTTATTCACATTTTGAGAATCTTAATATTGCTAGCAAATAACGAACAACATGGTATATCTAGATATACATATAATATTTCCACGACCAAAATGAATCCACTTCCAACAACAACTCTTCCTCTGACAAGATTGAGGAAAAGGTCAGCCCCAACAAACATCAGATTGGACACCTCACAGTGGACAAAACCCTAACCTTGACTGCTACATTGACCACTTCATGGAACGAATGAACAATGAAATAATCAACAACAACCTCTCTCTAGAGAGAAAGGCCATAGAATCTCAAAGATCTAACCACCAAGTAGTAATAAAGTCAGCGGATAAAAGGAGGAGCCAGTCATCCTAAACCATGAAGACTACATAAAAGGAAGCCAACAGACAACTCTGTGACACCACCTACTACAAAGAACTACAAGAAGATCCTACTCCCCTTTTCACCATGAAACTCAATAATACCATCAAATCATTTCCATTAGGACTACAAGAAAAACTGCAGACCTTGTTCCACCCCACTGCCCTGCCCAGGGATTTTTTACATGCTCAACAGAATCCACAAACAAGGAAACCCTGGCAAACCTATCATATCCAACCATGGGACCCTAACTGAGGAAACATCAGGTTTCATTGAATCAATCCTAAAACCACTTGTCACCCAAAGAGCAAGCTTTGTCCAAGACGCTACAGATTTTCTACGGAAACTTAAACATAGACCACCTACCCAGCAACATCCTCCTAGCCACCATGGACGTTACCAGACTATATACCAACATCCCACCTTCCATATC